CGGCCCGCCCCGCCGGCCCGCGGGGCACCGCACGGCGCCTTCACACCCGGGGCTCCCGACCCGCGGGCCTCGCAGAGCAGCGCTCTCCACGGGTGCTTCGCGCATCCGCGCATTTCCCTGGTTAGCGGTTGTCCACTGAGGGCCGCGGATGTCAGGTGCTGCGACGGAACAGAGAACAACACAGACGAGAAACACACTCTAGTTAGGAGAAACAAACAAGGAGAATATAGGGAAACGCCAGCAATTCCACTTCTAGGTTTGTGCCCAGCAGAAATCCGTCCGTATGTACAAAAAGACACCTCCAAAGTGCTCAAGCGTTACTATTTGTAATAGCCTCAAACGATACAGCTCAATGTCCGGGTGAGCTGTTGAATGAGGTATATTGTGAGGTATGTATCTATACCGATATCTATATTTTTTGGAGACAGGGTCGCACTGTGTAGCTCAAGTGCGCCTTGAACTCATTATGTAGTCCACGTTGGCCTCAAGCTCACAGCGATCCTCCTGCCTCAGCCTCCTGAGTGTGGGGTTACAGGTGTGCGCCACCACGCTCAGCAAATTATGTTGTATTCACACAATGCAATTCTACACACCGCTGAAAACTGATAAACGGCTGCCATGCTCAACACCATGGGAGGACCTCAAACATCAGACAGAGTGCAAGGGAGCCGCTATTCAAGAGTTTCTGCTCTGTGACTCCTTTCTGCAAAAAGTTAGTTTGCTTAATTTAAAGACACAAGGTCCGGGCTAGGGATTTAGCTCAGTGGCACAGTGCCTGCCTGGCAAGCGTGAGCCCTGAGTTTGATTCCGGTACCTCCCTCCTCAAAAAAAGACACAACGTTCCCTAGGTTGGCTCCAAACTCCTGGACTCAAGCGATCCTCCTGCCTCTGCTTCCCCAGTAACTGGGACTGCAGGTGTGCCCCACGGTGTTGTAGCCTTATGAAAAGAGTTTTAAAAAGAAAAACGAATTATACGGTAGAGTCAAGATAGTGGTTACCTAGGGAATAGATGGATAATGAGTAGATAGGGTTACAAGGAGCTTACAGGGGGCTGATAATGTTCTGTGTATTTGTGAAAACTGATCATGGTGTAATCTTGTAATTTCTACACTTTTCCTTATGCAAGCTGTATTTTATTAAAATTTTTCATCACAGTAAATTCACATTTAATGCAAATTAAAACAACACTGAGAGTCCATCTCACCCTAGAAAGAATGGCTACTATCAAGAAGTCAACCAATAACAAATACTGGAGGGGCTGAGGGGAAAAAGGAACCCTTCTCCACTGTTGGTGGGAGTGTAGACTGGTGCAGCCACTGTGGAAATCAGTGTGGAGATTCCTCAAAAATATAGGACTACAGGTTCCATTTAACCCAGCTATTCCCCTCCTTGGTATCTTCCTGAAGGAATTAATAGCATTATACCACAGTGATATATGCACATCCATGTTTATAGCAGCAGTTTGTAATAGCTAAATCTTGAAAACAGCCCAAATGCCCATCAACTTATTAATGGATAAAGAAGATATGGATTTTTTTTACAGTGGAGTACTACTCTGCTATAAGGAAGGATAAGCTTAAGACATTTCCAGTTAAATGGATGCACCTTGACGCCATTCTCTTAAGTGAAATAAATTGGACACACGTGTGTGAATACCGCATCGTTTCTGTGATGTGAGAAATGGAAAGTGTAAATGAGGACCAAAATGTACAATATTTATTGTGAAGTAGGAAGAAAATGTTCAAATGGGAGGGGAGAGGAGGAGGAGGAAGGGAAAAGAGAAAAAATGATGAGACAAGAAGGAAAAACTGAGAACAAAGCTTTTGTAAATAAGGAGGGGAAGAGGTGCTGCAGGGAAGGGAAATGGGAAAAAAAGAATCAAGTTATATTATGTACAGCTACAAATTCCCTGAGGGAAATGTGATCATTGTGTATATCTAAAGTGTACTAATACACTTAATTAATAAAAAATAATAAATTCACATTTAAAATACATGGGAATATTAGGAGAAGAAGAGAGGAACTGAAGAAATAGTTAAAGCGATAATGAAGGAGAACTCCCCAAATTAATGTCAGACACCAGACCACAGGTCTAGGGAGCTCAAGACGCGCCAAGCAGGATAAACGCCAAAAAGTGCACGTGGGTACTCACATTAAAATGTCAGAAAATGAAAGGGGGAAAAAAGCCTTTCTATGTAGTTCAGGTTGGCCTTGGACTCACTGTGCAGCCCACATTGGCCTCAGATGTGTGGTAGTTTTCCTGCCTCAGCCTCCCAAGTGCTGAGATTACAGAGTGCATCATCATGCGTGGCAGGAAAAAAAATCTTGAAAGAAGCAGAGAGAGAGAGAGAGGGAGAGAGGGAGGGATGGAAGGAGAGGGAGAGGGAGAAGGAGAGGGAGAGAGATGGAAGGAGGGCGAGAGAGAGAAACTTCATAAAGGAGCAAGGATGCTGGGCACGGTGGCTCACACCTGTAATCCCAGTACTCCAGAGGAAGAGGCAGGGGAATCGTTGCCAGTTCAAGGCCAGCCTGAACGGCATAGGGAGACCCTGTCTCAAAACGTCAGAAAATGGGGGCTAGGAATATAGCTCAGTGGCACAGTGCCTGCCTGGCAAGCACAAGGTCCTGAGTTCGCTTCCTGGCACCGAAAAAAAGACAAAAAGGAGCAAGGACAAAGATAAGAATCTCATTAGCCTTGTCTTCTTCAGAAAGCATGAAGACAAGCAGAGAGTGAAGTGGAATATTCAAAGTGTGGAGAGAAAAACCCCACCAGGCTGTACTTTCTCAGGCAAACAGAAGTTGTGGGACTGTCACCATAAGATGTCTTGCCCGAAAGTTAAAAAGCTTTTCAGGGAGAAGGAAAACTATAGGTCCTAAACTCAGGTCTATGTAAAGAAAAGAAAAACATTAGGAAGGAATTCATGAAGGTGAAAGAAGCTTTGTTTTCCAATTCTTAACTGGTCTAATGATAGTTTACCCAAAATAATAGTAACCATGTATTTGATAATGAAAGGTTATGGATAAGTGAGTGAATGACAGTAGACATGCCAGGCATGGTGGGGGTGGGGAATTTGAAATACTTTCTTGTGAGATACTTGAACTGTTTGTGAAGTAGTACAGTGTTAGTTGGAAGGTAGACTTATATTAGTTGCAAATATATATTGAAAACTCTAGGGCAACTATTTTAAAAAGTTTTTTATTTTTTAAAATTGTTATTAGTACATGTTTATAGTACATATTCATTGTGGGGAGTTGGTATGTACATAACACATCTCAATTCTTTTTTTTTTTTTTTTTTTTTTTTTTTTTGGTTTTTCTCCGGTACCAGGAATCGAACTCACAACCTTGCGCTTGCCAGGCAGGCGCTGTGCCGCTGAGCTAAATCCCCAGCCCCACACATCTCAATTCTTTAAAGACAGTTTTTAAAGAATGAATGAGAACTCCCCAAATTAATGTCAGACACCAAACCGCAGATCTAGGAAGCTGAAGACACAGCAAGCAGGATAAACACCAAAAAGTGCACATAGGTACTCACATTAAAATGGCAGAAAATGAAAGATAGGAAAGAAAGTTGCTGGGCATGATGGTGCACACCTGTAATCCCAGCACTTGGGAGGCTGAGGCAGGAGGATCACTGCAAATTTGAGGCCAGCCTGGACTACATAGTGAGTTCAAAACCAGTCTGAACTACATTTTGAGACCCTATCTCAAAGAAAGAAAACAAAGAACAGTTAGTATTCTAATAAAGAAGAAGAAATGGACTCATATATAAAATGCTCATAATAATGAATGTAATCTGAATGCACAGGATGAAGAGAATCAAAAATAGTAAATAAGAGGCAAATTCTAGAAATATAAACTTAGATCTCCTTTCTCTCTAAGTGTCCAAGAAGATTTGAAAGACTTAAAATTGGACTGGAGATGCAGCTCAGTGGCAGAGCACTTGCATAGTATGTGCAAAGCCCTGGGTTCAATCCCTAGAACCAAAAAAAAAAAAAAAAAAAGAGAGAAAAAGAAAAAGAAAAAAACCCCCACAAAATTATATAATGCAAGATTGTAACAGTGTATTGTAAGATTTGCAACATATCCAGATGCAATTTGTATAAAAGTAACAACATTTATAAGGAAGAATTAGTGCTACAGGAGAGTTACATTTATGTTGCTCACCGAAATTAAATTAGTACAAATCTGAGGTAGGATCTGATTAAGATGAATATTGTAGGATTAACCACTTAGAAAATAACTGAAATACACTAAAAATTTAAATGTTAAACTAGAAAATAATGAAAATGGAGCAATAAAAGAAGGAACAAAAGAACAGAAAAGAGATGACAGTATAGAAAATACAAAAACAGAATAGATGAACAAAATACTTCATCCAGAAGTTATCAATAACAATGTTAAGTGTGAATGGATTAAATAGTTATATTTGGTTGCTATGTCTGTTTATGGAGAGAAAGCGGTGTCCCCCTAAAATTCAAATGTTGAAACTGTGACCCCTCCCAGTGTGATGGCCCTTGGAGATGAGAGCTTTGGGAGATAATAAGATTTTGACGGGGGCCCTCATGATGGGATTGGTGCCTTTCTAAAAAGAGCTTGCTCCGTGCTTTGAACCTACTATCACCCAATGTTATAACAAAAACCAGACCCTTCCAGAGAACAGCGGCAACAAACTCTGCAAGGTTAGTGTGTGATGTATGTCTAAAAGGGTTCAATTATCTCAACAGGTACAGAAAAAACATTTGACAAAATCCAACACCTTTTCATAATAAAAAGGACTCCACAAATCCACAAACTAGGAACTTAAGCTTAATAAACAGTGTCCATGAAAATGACACAGCTGACATTGTGACTGTAAGATCAGGAACAAGACAAGAAAGTCTGTTCTCACCACTTCTGTCTAACATTATACAGGAGGCAAACAGATAAGAAAAAGTCATAGGAATAAAGGGCATCCAGATTGGAAAGGAAGAAGTACAATCCTCTCTATTTGCAGATGATAGTATCCTGTACATAGAAAATCTTAAGGGGGGCTGGGGATTTAGCTCAGCGGCAAAAGCGCCTGCCTGGCAAGCGCAAGCTCGTGAGTTTGGTTCCCGGTACCG